AAAAGTTAAACCTTTACATAAAAGTGGTAAAACTTCAAAGTTGTTCAATGGCAGGCCTATTTCCGTCTTACTTGTAATTTTGAAATTATGGGAAAGACATATTCCCTTCATGTGAAAATGTTCTATTGAAGGTTGTAGATCCGTTGGCAGGGGGAATTGATCATGGTAATGTAAGTGTAGTAACCTTCCTTGATTTTTATGAAGGTTTTCGATCTTGTAAACCATGCTGTACTGGGTGAAAAGCTGAAACTTGATCAGTATGATAGTACTGCTCTGTTTTAGTTTACATCTTATATACAATATATATACCAAAAAGTGTGTACAACGGGGCAATCTGTCAGAGGTCAGATAATTTATCCCTTGGGTACCCCAGGGCTCTATACAGGGACCTCTGATGTTTCCTGCTCTCATTAATGATCTGCCATTGAAAGTTGCTTCCAGAACAGATATGTATGCAGATGATTCTACATTGTCTACGTCTGAAACGACGACAGTAAGCATTGTCAGAGAAAAAACTTGGGTATGATTGAAAAATGTAGAGGAGTGGTGTACTGAATATAAAATGATAAATTGAGGTTTAATGGTTAGAAAATTCAACAGGTAAATACTGCGAGAATCTTTGGTGTAGCATAATATAACGTAATATGATATTTTGCTATGTTTCACTAGCAAAACTGTTATAAATCCTATTAACGTACATATGAACAGGTACTTCAAATAAGAAGACCAAGAGCCATGTAGTACACTGAAGTCTAGATAGTTTTCAGATTTTTTTTGGTTTTTTTTTTTTTGTTTTTTTGTTGATAACTTAGTCGCCTCCTAGGCTTAAAACTTTAGGCCCTTAGCATCACTGACGAGTCCTCGAAGGACGAAAGAGCTGTATGATGGTGTTATATTCATTGTATCTGGATCTAAATTATTGAAAGGTGTTTTTATGTATGTAAGATATCTTTGGTGGATTCGATAGCAGGTGTCCACAATGTTTTTCAAAGGGTTGTTTTTCACAAGTTTGCATCGTACATATAAATGTAAAAAAAATATATCGTATATCAATTTTTTTCATGGAGATCACACTTGTCTCCACAAATCATATCCGCATCACATCTATTTTATCATCCTCACGCCTATTTTTTCAAATCATATTAGCATCATATCAGTTTTTGAATATAAGTAGATTCAATAAGTTCTATTTATCCACGAAATAGTAATTTTTTTAAATACGAAAATTAAGACCCACAAAAAATGTGTGATTTTACAATATACGGAAAGGTCTTAAGAACTGTTATCGTCATGATACACATTACCTCCAGGTTCATAGATAATAGAACAGAGAACAGCTCTTTATGATCCCAAGGGAGTGAAACAACATATCGACAACCTCTGCATACATAGGCTTCACCTCAAAATAGTGACATGTATAGCCTTCAACGAATGTTTTCTTTCCGTCTTTTTTCTCTCCGTTATTGGTTAAATGTCTGTTTAAAACATTGTTACGAATGGCCCTGTCATTTCTACTGTTGGAAATCATTTATCAACGTCAGTTAACATTTGGTCGTACACTTAGCGCTGTACTTACTAATTAGATTGCACTGTGAATGCTTCCTTAAACAAATGAAAACATCTTCCTGTTAATGAAAACAAAGGAGGCTAATTTAAAAAGAATTGAGGAGTTTTACTAGTTCTTTCTCTTCTTAAATGTATACATTGCCAATATTCTGGTCCATTTTCTTAGGTAATTTCATGACATTTTATTTAATCATTTATTTTAATTTCTATTTGATCTCACAGATCTAACAAGTGAAGTTGAGAAGATCTGAATTTTTTTCTTTCTGAATGGGTTAAGTCCATTTGGTCCGTAATTCGCAAAATATTTTGCAGCTTGAAGTCGAAAATGAAAACAAAACACGGGTCAGATTTCCTCGGTTCTGTTGTTAAATCCACTAATCATGCTTTGGTATTCCAGTCATTTAGAGTGTCTTTTTTTCACAGGAATACGGACCATAAACTTCACAAAAATCCATAAAAGTCAATGTTTTATTGCTTGCTCGTCTAGGTGTTCAATAATGCCTTTGTCAAAACTACTGGCCACCATACTAATTACAAATCGTGGTTATGGTTATTGTGATACTGTTTATTCAAGAAGCGGGATTAATATTGAGTGGATTTTACAGAACGCAAAAATGCTTTTGAAAAATCCACAACACCCTCTTCTAAAAACATTTGTTTTGTATGATCATTTGATTGTTCCACCCTGTTCACCACCTTACCCCATTCTAAACTGAAGGAAAACCTTCGTTCTCCTGTTAAGGGAGTTTTCTTCTCAAAGAAAGGTGAAAGGCAGTATAGATGTAAGGTTGTGAGCTATACTGAAGCGTATTTCGTTAAAAACAAATACGTCCAAATCAAAGAAGAAATATATGGTGGACGAAAAAATTATCGAGTTTCTGGTTGACAGCATCTTCGTCGAGGTGGTGGTAAGAACTTCCAACATACTATTAGTTTACCTATTGGAACTAACGGGCCCCTCTGTTGGCGGACTTTTTTTGTTTTCAGGCGAAGTTGAATTTATTGAAGAGCTAATTAGAACAGGTCGAACAGATTTGCAAAGTCGTTTAATTGTTTACCCTCAGATATATTGTGGTCTTTAATGACAAGAAATTTATTGATCACGTTCATCGTATATATTCGCCAGAACTGGAAATCAAAGTCAATATTGACTCATCTATATCAACTGCCTTTTTCGATCTTACGACGAAACCAACACGGTCAGCTGTCCACCAAGCTGTATGATAAACGTGATAATTTTCTTTATTGTGAATTTACCAGTTCTGGATGGCAATATCCCTGCATCCCAACACATTTCACAGTAGTTTCAATATTCAAGGAGCTGTTCCCACTATCACAATTTTCGTTAAAGAAGTCGTCAACTGACGAATAAACTCGTGACATAGGGATTCAAATGATGCAGGGATGTTCTGGGGAAATTTTCATGGTCGCCAAAGTGATTGAGATTGAAGCTGGACGTGATTGATGTTTGTTAGTTTGCCTGCTGGTTTCGTTGTTGTATATCTTTTTTTTCAAATTTGAGAATTTGACATTACTTACTTGGATTGACCAAGGTTCACATGGCGGTAGTCGTCGATGAAGCAGAAAACGCTTACTCTTCAGAAACACTTGTCTTATTCTCCTTTTAGCATGTAATTTTTTTTATGGAATTAGAGTTTGGATTATGATTGTGTTGTCTTCATGGTATTTTAGGGATGTATTTTTTCAACAGATCTTGCGAAAATGAATTACAATGTATCTTGTGTCTAATTCTAAGTTTTGTATATAACGGTAATATTCAAGTTATTTTACAATCATCAATTTCAAGTCATGGATTTTTAGTTCTCTGAGGTTTGTAGTAATCAGCAAGCCAGGTTTAGTGACGAGTCTTAGAAGGACGAATTAGCTGTATGATGCAGTTCAATTCATTATGTGGTTCTATTGAGCCTGTACTCCAGTCTGAAAAGAGACAGTGACAGTTCGTTGTTTAAGTTCAGGATAGCTTATCGTTTCACTTGAAACGGTACATACTAGTCAACCCGGTAAATGAAAGGCGACAACTGTCTATTCAATTTTGCAAACATGTTCCAATTGTGCTTACTTGGGATATTGTTTATTAATTCAAATTCATTCTTAGACAAAGTTTGAAAAAAAAAAAATCAAAAATGTAATTCGAAAGATGTTGTGCAAAAAAAAAAAGACGCAAGAAGTCTCGTCATTTTGGTGAACTTGGATAAACAGTTCTTGTAATGAAGACATCCATAGCCACCATAGATCCACGTGTAGTGAAAGCTAAAACGATAATGACAATCTAAAGCACATCCTAGCGGAAATTGATTATGATCATCGATATTCCGTGTCGAAATAGGATTATTACATCCATTGGTTTGACATTTCCCGTAACACAGATATATGTACTGCATTAAGCTGTACAACCTGACAACCAAATCATTGGTTTGAAATATCAAAATCGAAGCAGAAAAAAAAAAATAAACTTCTTCGCTTCTTTATCTTTTTTTTTCTTTCTCAGATGTAGATCAAATCTTCAAATACAAAGGCAAAGTTTCGTGGAGAATTTATTTTCGTATAACAAATGGCCACTAAATCTACGAATGTTCATGTCCACGAAACGAAAAAAAGATAAATGGACATTGATGATAGTACTAGTCGATTCTGTGAGCAAAATTTATATGCGTAATCAGGCGAAAATGTATGTTTTTGGAAATCCTATATGTCTGTGCAGTAGTGGATTTTTTAACAATACAGTATAAAGTGGGTATATGTATATATTGCAGAGTGTTACATTCGTAACGATTCTTTACTGCTTTAAATGTGATCTAACGATCATTTTAAACGTTTGTACTCAAATAACGAAATCTTAAATATATGTTAGTTGGACTTTGAAAAACGTAGATTTGCATCCAAAATCTTAAATCAATATTCTAAATGTTTTCGAGTATCGACCAAATATTCCATGTGCGTAATTAAGTATGTAGTATATATTCCTGGTGAAATAGTTTTTGTGACTCGGTTTACACTTAAAGAACGTTACCTTATTTGGGCTGAAACTGGTTTAAACTGCAGGCGCCGTTAGTGTTGATTGGGTGCTTTCCCTTCCCCTTCCTTCTCCGTATCAATCTGCACTTTATTATATTCTTCCTTTCGGAGAACGATTTTCTTCACAATGTCGGTAATCTGTTTGTGTATTCGCAAAATTGTCGGATTGGAAACCAAACAAAATGCTAACACTATGCAGTACATCATGGTTTTGTTCATGGTCGATACATGTTATGCATTTTATCGATTAATGTCTTCTATGTAGAATTATGCAAATGCATACCTGACAGATTTTTTTTCTCTCGGTTCTTCTATTGATTAGTCGTCATTAAGGGATCGTGTTATCTTCTTTCGCGACCGTTTCCACGTTTTTTCTATATCAAATGTTTCTTAGCTTTTCATAGCTGCTTGTAGTTATTGTTGCTACTGTCGATGCTAATTATTGTTGTGTTGACTTTGTTGATGCTGCTGTTCATGGCGATTGTGATGATTGTTGTGTTGGCTTTGGTGCTGTTGTTGTTGCTGCTGTTGTAGTTTTTGTTGATGCTGCTGTTCATGGTGGTTGTGATGATTGTTGTGTTGGCTTTGGTGCTGCTCCTCTGTTGTTTTTGGTGCTGTTGTTGTTGCTGCTGCTGTTGTCTATTTTGTTGCTGCTGTTCATGGTGGTTGTGATGCTTGTTGTGTTGTTTTTGCTGCTGCTGTTGTTGTTGCCATTTTTGGTGTTGCTGCTGTGTATTGCTTGTGGTGATGTTTGTGTTGTTGCTGTCGCTGGTTTATTATTATTATTATTTATACTGCTGTAGCTGTATGTTGATGATGTTCTGGTGGTGATTGTATTATTGCTTCTACATCTGTTGTTGTTGTTGTTGCTGCTGCTGCTGCTGCTGCTGCCGCTGCTGCTGCGGCGGCGGCGGCGGCGGCGCGGACTGTTTGCGACTGAACCACGTTGATTATTTTACATATATAAGATATATTCCTACAACAAAATAAACATACAGTTTTTTTGTTTTGGATTTTTTTCGCTTGAAAAGCTCTGAGATTTTTAATCTGAATACAAATATCTGGTCCGTTGACTTTATTGAACTGCTGAGTGTTATTCTATGTTTGGGTTTGAGTTATTTTGATTGATCTCGCCTATGTGTGTTTAAGACGCTGTGTACAAACAGATTAAAGGTGACTTTTAAAATGTCACGAGCAGACGCTGTCCGTATTACGACATCAATCACATGTAAGACCAGACCACTTTGTGTCAGGTTTGAATGTAGTCGATAAATTGCTACTGCTGAGCCGGATATCCTATAGTGACAATGAAGCGATTGCGTGTTTACAGACTGATATTATCGATTACTTTTACCTGATTATTCACATCTGAAAGGAGAGTAATGAAAATTGAACAATATTTGAACTGTAAGAACACAGAATGGAAACTAGGTTTTACTTTCATTTTGATAAGAAAATGGGACTGTGACATTCTATTTCGTCGTAAAAAAAAACTGTAAAAACATAATACAGAATCATGACAAAACCGATAACAAAGAGAAATTTTAAAAACACATTGCGCATCGTGTTCATAATTACCTTTCAAGCTGGAAAGACATGAACAAAGTCTAATTCTTATACAAAATCAATGTTTTAGGTGTTGTTTATATATATATGTGATATATTATACCGAATTCTTAAATTATGGCAAATGTCTAAAATGTATTGATCACGAACATGATGTTTTTTTCTGAATTTACCCCTTAATTCAAACGCATGGATATCCACATGTTTCTGAACTTTCCCAAATTTCATTTATTTTTATCCACGCGTTCTATTTACGGTATCTAAATGTCATTTGTTTTTATCCACGCGTTCCATTTACGGTGTCTTAATGTCATTTGTTTTTATCCACGCGTTCCATTTACGGTCGCATTCCATTTACGGTATCTTAATGTCATTTGTTTTTAATCTACACGTTCCCTTGACGGTATCTTAACGTCATTTTGTTAATCTACGCGTTCCCTTGACGATATCTAAATGTCATTGTTTTTATCTACGCATTCCCTTTTCGATATCTTAATGTCATTTGTTTTTATCTACGCGTTCCCTTGACAGTATCTTAACGTCATTTTGTTAATCTACGCGTTCCCTTGACGATATCTAAATGTCATTGTTTTTATCTACGCGTTCCCTTTTCGATATCTTAATGTCATTTGTTTTTATCTACGCGTTCCATTTTCGATATCTATATTTCATTTTTATTAATCCACGCGTTCCATTTACGGTCGCGTTCCATTTACGGTATCTTAATGTCATTTGTTTTTATCTACACGTTCCCTTTTCGATATCTTAATGCCATTAATTTTTTTTCTACGCGTTCGCTTTTCGATATCTTAATGTCATTTGTTTTCATCTACGCGTTCCCTTTTCGATATCTTAATGTCACTTGTATTTATACACGCGTACCATTTGCAGTATCTTAATGCCAGATGTATTAATCTACGCTTTCCTTGTGTGGATTTTAAGTGATATTTGTAAAAATTCATGAGTCCCAAGTAAGGTATCTAAATGTTCTTATGGTGTGTGAACGCTGCCTGCAGCTGAAATGTTCTATTCTGGCGTCTTTGTGCTACTTCCGTTGACCACGTGTGTCTCCTCGTGATCACATGGGTTCTGTATACGCCAGCGTGAAGGCTTCTTCTCAACGTTCTCTTGCTGCCCGTATCTGTTGTATGGCTCGGACAAGTTTCTCATTACAATCATTGTTCGTGGAACTTCAGTTTCCTGTGTGGATGTTCTTGAGTATAATGGGTGACATATATAGGTGTCTGAACACTCGCATAGGATTTCATTCCTTAAAGGTCACCACAATATCCTGATCAAGCATTGCCGCGTACTAGCTTCGGGAAAAAATGCTTTTTTGTCTAATCGCGATGGGATAATACAAAAGTGTAACCAAATCATTTCTGAAGAGTTACTGAATTGGTGGCGTGAGAATGAATGCAGTTACGCGTAAAATGATAATCTTTAATTAAATGTTGGAAAATACATGTAACGTAAGCCTTGTTGCATTTTGTACTGTTCTTTCGTTTAGCTGCACAAGAACTTAATGGTTTTGACCTAACGTTAATCACGTTATATTGTCATAAAGGTTTGATTATACATCAGTGATACAAAATAGATAAATATCATAAGTTACCTTAATCATTTACACACAATAAGCCAGGCCCCGTGCAGTTGTTCTAAAAAAGATTTAACTTTCATCATTAAAGGTCAATGAATTTTATCATGTATATAAAAAACTAGAAACGAGGGAAACCTTTCTACATCTGGTAAATATTTATCAATGTAAAACCATGATACTTATACGTCAATGCTACATTTGTATTAAACCTTATCGAGAAATAAGTATGAATTAATGTGGGAGAATTAATGCATGTCGGTGCATGGAAGTAGGTGACTCTCATGATGGGAAGTCAATGTATCTCGGTGCGGGAAAATTAATGTTTTCCAGTGTGAGAGTGTCAGTGTGTCTAAGAGTGAGAAAAGAAGTTTGCACTTTAAATCTTCAATGACACCTCGTACATCGAGCGGACAACTAGCTAAATCGGCAGGGAGCCATTGTACAGTGTACATATAATCGCCATACAAAGACGGGAATATCTTAAGGCGACAGATAGGGACATGCACAGCTTGTTTTGTAGTTACATGATGATCAGGATCAATATTATTCGTATTTACATATATTTGTATGTAAACCATTGACAATATGTTTAAACCATTATAGGTCTCATGTTGGTTTACCGTGATAACACTGTTATAGGCTGATACATGTACACTACACTTATGTTTCTGAAGAGTTTCAACATCGCTGGCGAGTAGCAATTCTTGAAGACCGGGTAAGAAAAAAAAGAAATGTGAACTCATTTTATGAACGGAAGACCAGTATCTGGATTCGCTCATGTGTGACTGCTGCCGTTGTACTTTTATGAAAAAGAAAAGAATGTTTTTACCAACAATTCAACACCAAAGTTAACATAGATATCACTAGATATGGATGTTTTTAACACTCTTGTAATTTAATCACTAATATTATTTTCATCTTTTTGTTTTCGAAATGTTCACATATAAACACAATCTTAATATACACAGTTAAACATGGAACTGTAATAAAGACGTCCATAGAGGACTAATGAATGTCTCCAAGAAGACAAAAGTCACGTGATTCATCCCAGTGATGCATTACAATAATAGACATGTATGGTCTGGTCATTTGTGTGAATGTCCAGTGATGGTCAAGTTGATGACCATTGATTGTTATTGACCTTTCTGGCTATGTGACAGAAGCTTTCTGACAGGCCTATGTAGCATTAAGGGGAGCGAATTTGGACATTGCGTTAAATCTTACATCTTCAAATAACGGGAGCGAACTTCAAAAATATTGCATATTTTGCAGAACTTATTAACAGGTTACATGTATCAACAATTGATAAAGTTTCGTCCGCAGTATTTCATTTATACAACGCTGTGTTGACTTTCGAATCATGGAGCAACATCGGAGCATTTAATTGTTGTGTAAAAATTTCGAGACACTGACCAGACATTGACCAGACACCTGACAAGAGTGAAAAGGGTGCTTGATTCGGTAGTACGAAGTACTTTTATACAAGAATAGTATGATACCACGTGATCAATATGCAAATGATGACAATTGTAAAAAGGCCGTTATTTGTTTACTTATTTGTCTATATTTACTACAAATTGGTTTTGTTTGTGCAATGACCAGGTGCTTCTAGTGACACCGTTGTACTAACTGGAGCAGGGATTAAAAAGTCAAGATTGTATAAGGATTACGTGTGTGTAGCTCTTACACATTTAATTACATATAAGTATTCGTGATATTAGTTCATCGACAAAGAGGATATCAAGGATTAGGTCACGTACGATAAACTTCGTATACGATTGAAGCGCCCAATCAATAGCTTCTTGTCAAAACCATGCAAATATGACAAACAATGGAATCCTTCAAATCAATAAACAAATGGACATACACAAATGTCTTCTTGGATAATGTACAGAAACACAATCTCGTAAAATCTAGAAGTGATCGATATAAATCAGAAGTGATCGATAGTCGATGAAATCGACCAGATCAATCTGAAATATCGAACAGATAGATTAACCAATATTCCTTACAAAGTTCGCTGGTAAACAGTCAGTTTGAGATGTGTCTGTTGAATGTTTTGAAAACAAACTAAATGTTGGAGGATTTTCATTGGTGGTTTTAAATATCACGTGTCGTTGATTTCAAAATGAATTAAAAAAAATTATGGGATATCACAGCCTCTATAAGAAATATCGTGTACGCCCGTTGAGCCAGTATTGCGGTCGAACTTTGACTGGCGTGGCTCTGATAGCGACAGTTTTCGTTATTTTCACAGGTTATTCTAGATCGCGAACAACGCGGTGCAGCACCGAATCCGATGACTGCATTACTGGTGTAGTGATTAAAGCTGCATGACGTTCGTTAAAGACCGTTGGTACCGAAGATGATACCTACGAAAATAGTGCGTTGGATTTATCTGAATCAGAACATAACTTCCTGGAGTCCTTGTCTGTGAACTTAACAACTAACGACAACGTTGTCGGGGACTTATTGAGATTTAATTCTAGTCACAATTCGGACTTGTGGAATTCTACTCGGAGTTCATTAACCGCGGACAATAACAATATGCCGTGTTTGAACTCCTCAAACGGAACAAGAGGTATGGTATTTATTTAGTGTTACCACTAATCTATCCAAGATGAGTTGATTATTTGAAATATTTTTTTAAAAAAATCAGTGTCATAAAAAGTTCTTCTTTTTATGTATCACCTGTAATATATATTTATTTATTTATTTATTTATTTATCTATTTGTTTTTTTCTATTTGAAAAGGTAGCTTGTTGATAATTGAACTAGTCATACTGTGATTTATGTCGTTTTATCGGTCTGAGTGTACACATCATACTTTAGGTTATAAGTTTACATGTCATAACTAAATATTAAATATGATTTAAAATACAAAGATAATTAACGGATATTGGTTAAAACGCTTGTCAACTTCATCCAATACAGTATAAATTAAAGGATAAAAAATAATAATGAAAACAAGAAACAAAAATCAAAATCAAAATAATGATCATAAAAAAAATCAACCAATCAAAAACAAAAATGCAAAAACAATCCAATAAAAGGCGAAGAAAGAAGAATAGATAAGAAATTATTATCTATTCTACATAACGCATTCATGCATACATAAACGGTATTTACATGTAGCTTGAAAATAGACATTGGACATGTCTCGGACATGAATAATTTACGAGTCTTTCACCACGCGAAATTATTCATTATATAATATTTTATTATATTACATTATGTTATATATTATGTATATCAAAAGTTAGACGAAGGTCAGGTCTAGTGTAGAGAGTCAATTATCTCATGCTAACTACGCGGCAGTTATTTCTATAATAGGATGATCTTCCCAATAATTCAGGTATAGAAAACGAAAGTGATGTTTATATGTATTACATTTAATAACAGAATTTCATACAAGCTGTCAATAGTTGGTTTAGATCCTTACACCACATATTGTAGGGGAGTTATAGTGTCAGAGGGGCGGGGTCCAGAAGATGGGGGAGGGTAAAAAAAGAGGCAGTCAAAGGTATCCAACTGGATATTTTTATAAAATAGTTAGAAGGGATTGGGGTTTTCGTCTTTTGAATCATAGTAAGCATTTAAATATTAAAAGAAACAGGTATTGATTTTCCATCCCACTTTTCCATTTTATACACATTAATCAGTTTTTTATAGCCTACTCTCTGTGGTTGAGCATTAATGTCCTTGACCCTGTGTTCCGAGTCGACTACATCACTTTCATGATAAGGATTTCTGAAGGTGTACATTTCATTTTTATCAACCATATTACTACCAAACATCAATTTCATTTTTATCAACCCTATTACTACCAAATATAAACGTCATTTTTATAAATCAATATTAGTACCAAACATAAATATCGTTTTTATCAACCCTATTACTACCAAACGTAATCGCCGTTTTTGTCAAACAACTTTCGTCATAGACATCACAATAAAAATGTATCAACAATTTGTTGAAGGTAAGAAACGTTCAAGCAAATAAAAAATGTGGGCGAGAGGATTTGAAGTTTTCAGGAATAATGATATATTTATTTTCTTTTGTAAATAGATTATCATATGTTGTAAAATATGCTAAGAAACAAATATCAGCTGGTTACATAATGTTAATAAGTAATAAATGAGAAATTGTGTACGAGGAATGACACTATACTGCTTACAATGTGCGATACTTCACCAGCTCACTAGCTAAGTGTACGTATACGAGTGTTGTTTTGACATTACAATTTGAAGTCGTTTTGTTTTTTCGCATATACAGAGACATCTGTGTATTGTGGTCGTATGACAGGGGTTTTATAGTGTGTGTATTGTGGTCGTATGACAGGGGTTTTATTGTGTGTATATTGTGGTCGTATGACAGGGGTTTTATAGTGTGTATATTGTGGTCGTATGACAGGGGTTTTATAGTGTGTATATTGTGGTCGTATGACAGAGGTTTTATAGTGTGTATATTGTGGTCGTATGACAGGGGTTTTATAGTGTGTATATTGTTGTCGTATGACAGGGGTTTTATAGTGTGTATATTTTGTCGTATGACAGGGGTTTTATAGTGTGTATATTGTGGTCGTATGACAGAGGTTTTATAGTGTGTGTATTTTGGTCGTATGACAGAGGTTTTATTGTGTGTATGTTTTGGTCGTATGACAGGGGTTTTATAGTGTGTATATTGTGGTCGTATGACAGGGGTTTTATAGTGTGTATATTGTGGTCGTATGACAGGGGTTTTATAGTGTGTATACTGTGGTCGTATGACAGGGGTTTTAACAGGGGTTTTATAGTGTGTGTATTGTGGTCGTATGACAGGGGTTTTAACAGGGGTTTTATAGTGTGTATATTTTGTCGTATGACAGAGGTTTTATAGTGTGTATACTGTGGTCGTATGACAGGGGTTTTATAGTGTGTGTGTTGTGGTCGTATGACAGGGGTTTTATAGTGTGTATATTTTGTCGTATGACAGGGGTTTTATAGTGTGTATATTGTGGTCGTATGACAGGGGTTTTATAGTGTGTCAAAGGAAATACCTAAATCATACATGTTGCTATTATATTGGGTATCATGGCATTCTCATTCAGCAAACGTGCTAAACGGTTTGATTATCTCATGAGCATGTTGTCTTAAACCAATTCTGTCACAAGGTTTTATTTGATTGTGCCTATTCTGATTTCCGATATAGATTGTGTTGCATTGCAAGGTGCTTGGCGATGATGACGAAAGAGTTAAAATGGCAAGCTAGTTTTTTTTCTTTCTGTCCAGCCGCGTTGAAATTTGGCTTAATCATTTGTAAACGACGGTAATGTAATTTACCTTAAAACATTTATTGAAAATTCAGATTATCGAAACTCGAACAGTTTGTTGTAAAAGCTGTGTTTTCAGGCGTTGCCTTTATTTACCAGCCACAGGACGTACAATGTACCATCATAATTTCTCCGCATGGATACATATGACACAAACACGTACACACACTCTCACACACAAAAATCGGTGTCTAAATGATCCTTGTGTTATTTCTCACTTGCTGAAAGGTCGAAAGTTTCTTATCAGTGACGGATGCCGTCACAGTCGCAAAGGAAGCATACTGAGTCTCGTTTTGAAAACCGGAAGTTTGCTCATGTTAGTAGAGGTTTAAGGTGTTGTCACAGATTATTTCAAGCCAAGTGGGACAATTCTGGTTTCACATTTAATGTGGTCGCCTTCTGATCGTGACTATGGTTTACATAGGATTGACAATACGATCAGATGATGTGAAAAAATTATTAAACATATTAAATATATCATTTGTCAAATATGTCAAATGAGTGAAGTGTTTAATTACTTGATAATTGGTTAGGGTTGGCATATATACGTTATAGTGAAAACAGTTGACGTCATCGTTAAACCGAGTCAGATATATGTTCTTAGTTATATAATTTAATCTACGTGTTCTTACTATTCTTAACAGAAAACGCATTCTTTTGATACTTAAAAAGCTTTCACACTAAAATGCAATATCCCCTCCTTTCCTGTTGCGCCTAGAATTATTTTTATCTCAAATGCGGTTTTTCCACCAACATTATAGTTAATTTACAAGGACTTAATCCTGGTTTCACAATTTCAGTAAGGGATGAGGAGAGCTTATAGGAGCTAAGTGTTTCTGGCGTTCGAGCGATGCTTTTTATCATCAACATGTGCGAGAAAGTTCGTCTGTACAACAGGGAAAATTTTTCCGGAAGTGGGAAGGTTGGGGTATAGGTTGTCTGTACTAGTCAAAGCTAATGGTATGATGTCACAACATATACACAAGCACATGAAACGTGAAGTCACAATGATTATGCAATCAATCGCTCACTATAGCACCCCTCCTTCTCTCCAATTCCTGAGGTACTGACGAAGTTAACCAAATTTCTTTGTGTTTTATTTGTCTCCGAACAGGAACTGGAGGGATAATATATTTGCGTTGAGTCCTTTTGTCCTACCGTTTGTCCTTCCGCTATCTTGTTCGGGCTCTATCTCCTATACTTGGGGCACGGGTTCACCTTGATAAAACGATGTGTCATATATCAAAAATAGGTCACTGTGATCTATATTTTGACCTTTCACCAATATATCAAAGAAAAATGTTTACTTACTCTGACCTACACTTTCAACTTTAAACTACATTTAAAAAGATGTTCGATTTCTTTCTGGGTTACTCTTACGCGAACTGATGAAAATATCACCATTGCGAATGTGTCGGCTAAGTGGTATTTATTTTTTTATTTAATAATTATTTTCGATATCACTTTTCATATTCCTGTTTCAACTGCTTTCATGTACTATTCGCTTTTCACATACATCTGTCTATATTCCCTGGTATTGAAGTAACTGATCTGGGCTAACTCTCTCTAATAAACGACACGTATAGACTCACAAACGGATACTTTGTTTACAAGGCAAATTGTGGGTAAAAGGCCGGAAGATATTATTTTAAGAATTTTGTTGTAATTGTGCAATAAAAACAACACGTGACAAGGGAAGAAAATTGTGATTGAAGTTAGCATCCCTAGGAAATTTTGCGAGATTTGTATAATGAGAAGTTCCTGCCTTTTCTTATGTTTTCAATCAACAATAAAATGAGTTGGTGTAAGGTGATCAAATCTATAGTTATGACATTGCGTTATCCAATTTATTTCGATATTTGTTTTCTTTTTCAAAATATTTTATTAAATCAAGAAAATCAAACGTGAATTGGACAACAGGCAATGCCTATACCAGCCTTCTCCCTCAATTAGATGTGATGATTTTGTCGAAATTCGATATTATCTGGCTATGAAAACTGTCTCAAAATAGTATATTGCTAGTCTAAAGTTGCTTCAGAACCAGGTCACCAACACAACACTCTACATTTAGCGTATATTTTGCTCAAGCTAAATATGGCTTGACCATTTAGCATGGTTTCCGGTTATAACGCCTCCACTGTACTAAAGTGAGGTTATCATTAGATCTCATTTTCCTAAACGCTTGCCCGAGATTACTACAAAGTACATCATAACCAGGTGATTGACCAAGATTTATCACAAACCCACTGAGAACTCTAGAATATTCTCCA